GGCCCTCCAGTCCTGTGACCATTTCGAGTCTCCCTCCAGTTCTTCTGTGGGGTATATAGTCGCGGCCCTCACCTTCCTACCAGGAACCCGGAGAGCCCCAGCGGTAGCCTTCCCCCCACTCCGCTGAACCTCCTTTCACACTCCCCTACCTCCCCCCCCGCCGCCCCGCGTCCTGCCCCTACTCTGCGGTCTTCGGTTCCCTAGCCCTCTCCCGGCTCGGGCCCATCTCAGTGCCGAACCTTTGCAGCATAGCCACGAGATGGCGAGGACGAGACACAGAAGTCCAGAACTGAAGGGCATGCAGGTGGGGGATGTGACCCTGAAMGCACTGAAGCCCCCCGCCTCGGCCTTAGGGAAAGATGGGCTGAGACTTCCTGTCATCTAGGACCCCTCACAGGAAATTACGGGTGGGAGAGCACTGGGCTTAGGGTGGGGAGGGGGCGGGGGACTCTGTTTCAGCCTGGTTGAAACTGATTTAGTGGGGTGGGGAGGGGTACGCGGATTGGTTATTAAGCAAGGCCATTCGCTTTCCTGTCTGCTGTGGCGTGTGGCTGTGTCTTGGGGTGGGGGCTGAAGAGAGCAGGGAGATTGTGAGGAAAGTCGAGGGCAGAACGTCTAGTTCCCGGGCACGGAGAACCCTGGGAAGAAAGAAGGGAAGCTGCCAGATGCGGCGCGGCAGAAATGGACTAGGTGGTTTAAGGGAGGGAGGCGGAACCCTAGTCACAGATCTTAATTCGGCTCCCAGTCCCTTCCCGAGATTGCTTGCCCTGTTGCCAGAGTAACTGGAGAGCGAGACTCTGCAGTCAGATTCCCGAACTCTCTCTGCCCAATCCGCTGCAGCGGACGTGGTTGACGTCACGGCTCTAGAAGCCAATGGGGAGCGGGCATTATGGAACGACCGGAAGAGGGAGAGGGGGAAAAGGTGGTGGAAGGGAGGAGGTAGCTGCTCAGGATCTGCACGTGCACTCCCACACGCTCGCGCCCACCCCTCCCTCCGCCGCACGCGCCCGAACACCCCCTTGCGCCTGCGCGGGAGTCGGGCACTCCCCCTCCTACTGGTTTTGAGTGTTTGCAAAGTGGTCCATGGTGCTCTCTTCAGTTCCTTCTGACCCAGACGTTTGAGTCGGCCTGCACTCTTTTGCCGGGTCTCCACTGTTAATGCCCATCTTCGCATCGGAGGGCCAGCTACCTGTTTCCCACTACCCCTCCCCACCAGCTGGCGCCCCACACTCCCAGGTGGGCTGGGCGGAGCTGTGGTTTCCGGCCCCACATGCTGGGTCGCTGCCTTCCCGGGCTCTGGCTTTGGTTGCCTCCCCAAAAGAAAAGGAACATGTACAGCGCCCCTTCCAGAGGCTTTGCCTCCCCGGGCCAGCTGTTGTTGGCGAGGGAGGGCGCTGCGGGAAACCCCGTACGACCCAGGTGACGCTTCTCAAGCCGTCACGCCCATTCTTCGCGTGAATACCTGCTCTTTGATGTGCCCCAAACCCCTTCCAATCCCTAACGTTTCCTCTTCACCCTCCCTAGTGTTCTTTGCACCTCTCTTGGCCCCTTTCGAACTGTCTGTCCCCGTATCCACTCGTCCTTTTCTGCTTCCCAGGGTTATATAACTCTTCCTCTCGCCGTGTCCTGATTTCAACTCCACTGACTCCGCCCTGGAACTGTACGGGAGGGGAGGGAGAGTTAGGGACCCAGACAGATTCCGACCGGCTGGGGCACAGGGGATCCCGCAGATAGGAGACGGAGCCCCGTGGGACCAGGCGCTTCGTCCCCCGCCTCCCGCCCCCACCAGAGATCTCGCCCTGGAGTGAGAAGGCACAGTATCCGAGGGGCGTGTCGTGACTCGCGTCAGAAATGTGGGTTGGGAGGTCAGGGCTGGAGGCGGAGAAGAGGAGGCAAGCGAGAAGCCCAAATCCCTAGGATTGGAGTCGTATTGGGGCCAAAAGAGATAAGGGCAGAACGCCTGGGTTCTTAGTCGGCTTTTCGGGTTCCCAGAATTCCTAAAGCTTTTTCCCAGGAAGCTTAGTCAGCGCCACCCCACCACCCCCATAGGGGTCAAAGGTCTGTGTTAGAGGTGGCCTAGGATGATGTCACCAGTGCACGTGCCCCGGGATGGTTGCCAGGCAATGAGGCCTCTTCCCCCTTCCATACCCTCCCACCTCTAACCTGAATCCAATCCCGGTCCCATGCCATCTCTTTCCCCTCTCCTTTCCCCTGGCCTTAGCATTCTGCAGGTGGGAAACCCTGGCATGGAGTTTTATGAGGGGGAGGGGCACGGGTGTGGTGTAGTTGAAAGACTTTGCCCCTAGGCTGGACTGAGAGAATCTTGGGTCACTTTCCCCTAGATTGACACCAGAGAGTTTCCTCTCCGGGTCCCTCCCTCCTTGAAAGAGCTTCCTACTAGCCTTTATACTTTTCCACCTGCTGCATGGCCCAGATTCCTATTGCCCCCTTCCCTGTCTAGAGTTGAAGTGGGAGTGGTTGCAAGACATCTGCTCCTAGGAGAAGAGTTGTATGTGTGGGGATACACACCAGCTCATCTCTGACGTCCCCTTAACTGATGGCTCAATCCACTCCCCAAACTGAGAAAGGGTCAAAAATAGGTTTTTATTCTGTGTAAGGCAGATGGATCAGTTTTGAGGCATCCCACTTGGAGAAGAGGGACTTAGTTTAACTAACTATGGCTGCCCTTCTCTGTTAAGTCCTGGGTTTGGTGGTGGTATTGGAAAAAAATAAGTATTTGTTTCCATGTGCCTTAGAGTTTGGACTCTTAGGACAGACCTGGATTCTAATCCCAATTCTTAGTGGCCATTGAGATTTGGAAAGGTCACAACCTACCAGAGCCCCAAATTCTTAATCTAGGAAATTTAAATATTAATACCCATCTCCCAGGCAGATGGGAGGGAAAAGATAATTTATACAAAGCACTTAGCACAGTGCCTGGCTCCAAATGAACATTGAATGAATGCTTGTTATGAAATACTTATTATTAAATAGTGTTGTTATTTTTATTATATTTGGTGGGCCTTCTCTAAACTAGCCATGACCTTAGGAGTTAGTTAGGGAGGAGTGGAGAGTTTGTGTAATCGTGTGTGTTTGTGTTTTTTTTTTTTTATGTGTGTGTGTGTGTGTGTGATGGGGTGGGGTGCTGGGCTGGGGATTTGCTTTGCCTGTTCTGTGCACTTTATTTGATGAGGGCTTTAGTAAGACATGTATTCTTTCTTTAGTATTATAATTTTTTTCCCCTTTCGGAGAAGAAATAGCTAAGACTATTCCTTTGACTGTGAAAATAAAATAATCGTGCTGTGGTTGGTGATTTTGAAGCAAGACCCCAATCTCCCCCCACCCCCCATGTTGTTATCTGGAGCTTTTCATTTTGCAAGGGGACTCCACAGTTTCCCTAGCAGGGACTGGGCTAGGCTGAGGGGTGTGTAAAAGGTTGGGGTGGGTGGGTGGAGAGAGACTTGTGCTGGGGGCTGGGGGTGCTGGTAGTTAAAGGAAGAGACCGGAAGGGAGGAGGAGGGAGCCTGCTGGTGGGGAGGGAGGGAGGGGAGGAGGTGGAGGAGGAGGAGGAGGAGGAGGAGGAGGAGGAGGGAGGGAGGGGGTTGGGGAGAGCCTGCTACAGTTCTTTGTTTGACTCCGGGACTCAGGGACGGGGAGGAGGAGGGAGGGAGGCAGAGGCTGCAAGCGCCGGGGCAGGCCCAGGAGGCAGAGGAGGGACCGTCTCCCCCGCCCCCCCAGCCCCCACTCCCCTCCCTGCTGCTTCCCCCCTCCCTACCCGGACTCTGGGGGCACCGCCGGGGGACAGACACCCAGCAGGTAACCCTGGCCAGGATCGTCCTCCCCCCTCTGATTTTCCTCCACACCCTCCTGGATGACCCCTTTCCCCCTTCCGTCTCCCCGATTTCCTCGGCCTTCTTTCCCTAGCCCTCCGGTTCCATCTCCCCCACTTGGGCTTGTCGCCTGCTGGCCACACCACCCTCGGTCTCGGTCTCGTGCAGCCTGACTCCCTTCCTCCTGMTCCGCCTGTGCTCCCCAGGTCTGCCCGAGGCACCTTTCCGGGCTCTATCTTGCTGTTTCTCTGGGCTCTTCCCTTCAGACCTGTTCCCTGGGGCCCTGGGGGAGGAGGTAGTCCTGTCCTTTTCTTCCCCCCCCCCCCAGTTATCTGCCCCCCCCCGCCCCCTTTCTCTTTCTAAATGTCTCTAGGGGTAGGGAGAGAACCGGAATTTGGGGGGCCCTATGGAGGGGCAGGGGCTGTGTGTTGCTGGGAAAAGGGGAGGTGAGTGTGTTTGGGGTGGAGAAGAGGAGCCGTTAGAGACCAAGATGCCTCTGTGTTGTCCCTTTAAATGGCCCTCACATTTCTGGGGACGTGTGTGTGTGTGTGTGTGTGTGTGTGTGTGTGGGGGGGGGGTGGTGTCTAGGCGCCTGTCTGGGGGGCAGGGCCCTTGGTTTGTCCACACAATCCGGGGTGGTAATGATTTAAAGGGACAGCCTTGGTGTGGCCGCTGCCACCCTGTGCCGGCAGGAGGGGGAGCCTGTAGGGCCTGTCTGGGGAGGCTTGGCTGGTGAACAGGGCATTTGAGGCTGTCTGTTGCAGGGCCTGCCAGGTCTGGGAAGGTGCTGTGCTGGAAGGTACAAGGAGAGGTGACAGCCTGCCTGGGGGGTGCTTAGTCAGGACCCCACTTTTGGATCCCTGTGTTCCTTGGCCAAGAATCCTTGAGTCTAAACTATGGAATCTGTTGGCCATCAGGTAGGGGACACCAGCAGGTCTACAGGTCAGCAGCCTGGCCTGGGTACTTTGGAGCTGGCCCTTCAGCTCCCCTTTTGTTGTTTGGTTCTGTGCACAAGAAAGCCCCAGCCCCTCCTCCAGATCCCCCTTCCTGTTCACATGCCCCCCCCCACCCACCCACCCCAGCTGTTGGACAGATGAATTACAGCCTCCAGCTTGAGGCCAGGGCTGGTGAGGGATTAGAGCTCTGGGGTTGGCCCTTTAAATGGTTTTGGCCCCTCCCCCACTCTGGTGTCCAGATGCCCCTTACACACCCATCTGATTACCTTGGCTGCCCCTCACTCCTCATCTCAGTCTGTCCTCCTCACTTCCCTCTCTAGGCTAGACCCATATGCCCCCTCCCCACTATACAACCACATGTACAAAGGCTGTCAACTGTACACATACACTCCCTAGTCCTGTATTCTGAGTCTCACTGTTCTGGAGGGTTCTAGCTTCAAGCTCCCTTTTCCAACAGAAGGACCTTACTTGCCTTGTTTTCCCAGCCTGCAGCTGACCACTGCCCTGGCTGAATGAGGGGCCTTGCTTGGGTCAGAAATAACACTTCCCTGGGGGCAGTGTCATCAGCAGCCATGGAGACTTGCAGCACATTGCATCATGGAGGCTGGGGGCCAGAGGCCTGAGTCTCTAGGGCAGGGGGAAGGATGGAGGCTGGAAGACCAGGGAATGGAGAGACTAGACTGGGAGTCCAACCAAATGTCTGGGTCTGTAGGGACTGAAAACTGAAGAGGGGAACAGAACACATAAGCCCCTGAGGAGTGAGTCTGAGTTGAGGGTTAACTGAGTTCTGACCCCTGGATGGACACCTGGTTCCTGGCCTTGGTTTTAGGTTAAAATACCTACTTCTTTTTTTCTGAGGGTTAGAAGGGAAGGGATGGGCCTCTGTCACCTTCTTGGGCCACACAGAGGAAGGAGGTGATGGGGAAACAGGATATGTCCTTGGGGGTAGGATGGAGGGGGGCTTGCAGCAGAGGCCACTTCCAGGCTCAGGCCCAGAGTCATAGCTCTTACAGAGGAGGAAGGCTTCTCCCTGTTGGGCCCGTTCATCTAGTCTGGCYACCTGTGCTGCTCGCCAAGACCTGCCTGCACCTGCCTAGGGGAAGGGGAGGGGGCAGAGTCCAGAGGGTGGGGTTGACTGTTTGGTGTCTTGATAAGGAGAGTGGAACCTTTGGGAGGAAGAAGGTCTGCATGCCTTGGGTCCAGAACTGAGTCTGGCCTTGGTACTGCTGTCAGGGGCAGATGAAACTACTCTGAGGCTAGAGAGTCAGCAGGGGGGTCCAGTCAGCTGGTGCCCATTGTAGACTTACGTTCCATAGCATGCCTCCTTATCATCTGGTCAGGATGCCTCCTCAAGGGGAAGGTTGAGGATCACTTTGGGGATGGCTTTTTCTGGTTGCCATGGAAACCAGTTCTTCCATCTCATCTGACCACTAGAGCCAGGTTTCTCCTCAGTGAGGGGGGATAGGGAGCACAGAGAAACCTTCCAGTCTGGGAGACCCCCACTTCTAAATGACTTTTTTTCTTTTAGGTTTCCCCCAGGCACCATGCCAGCCCCATAACACTACCCACTCCACTGTGGTCTGCTGCACCCCACTGCTGGGGCACTGTTCTAATGAGACAGGGCACACCAAACTCCATCTGGTAAGTCCATTCCCTTGAGTGCACCCCAAGTCCAGCCCTGCACCCCATGTTTAAAAATTATCTGGATCATGCCAACTCCTCAGAATGGTCCAGTCCAACTCTGAGCTTCCCCCTACCTTGTAGTGCTTGAGTGGTTCAGCCCTCCTGGTTTATGAAGCTCCCCTTGTCTCCTATGAATGGTTCAACCCTGCACTTCACCAACCTCTCTACTACCACCAAAAAAATCTTCTACCCCATGCCAACTCAGCAACTCTGTTGTTGATTGAATTAAGCTAGGATGTGCAAGTTGAAAGTAGATGTCAGATACCATGGAAGAATTCTTCGGAGGGAGAGGGCTTTACTCCTGTAAGAGTTGTTGATAACTTGGCTTATGAAGGATGTTAGAAATTGAAGTGGAGAGATATTGGAGATCATTGCCCCAACACTATTGTCATGGCGATCTTAGCATCTCATCTTTCCTTCCAAATCCCTTTCTGTCCCATGCATTTGCTCCCCACACCCAAAGTCCTAATCCTCATTTTGTTTCCCTCCTTCCTTCTCCCAGTTCTGTCTGAGGCTCGGCTACATTCCCTTTTCCTTTATAGGAGAAAGAGATCTTGTCTAAGCCAGGGACTTAAGTTTCATGAGTGTGTGTTGCTCTTCCCCATTACTCACTGAGTTTCTTGAGTGGGACTGTTTTCTTTTATGTATCTCTCACTGTTTAGTATGATGGTTTGCACATTGGGGTGCCTCTGTGGATTTGTGTTGAATGAATGTGTTAACTGAATGAGCTTCATTGCCAAGAAACCTACGGCTTTTGAGATCTGCTGCACATCCTCCTACCCAAACCTTCTCTGGAGCACATGAGACATTTTGGATGATAACAGAGGGTGAAGCTGAGAGGGAGGTTGGCCCAGACATGGCCTGTGAGGATAAGACCAAGAGAGAAGGAATAAGTCAGAGGCAGCATAGAAGAGTGGCAAGAATGTTGCTCTGGAAAGCAGCTGTCCCAGTCACTTGCAGAATGACCTTGGTCAAGTTACCTAACTTCTTTGAGCTTCAATTTCCTCATATACAAAATGGGATAATCAGAGTGCTTCCAATAGTAAGTTTTGGGGAAGAGTTTAAAAAAAGTATGTAAAATGCTTAACAGTGCCTGGCATCTAATAAGTAGTCAATGAATGCCGCAATTATTGTCATAATGGGAGCTTCAGGGAGCTGTGAGGATAAGCAAGGATGTTAAGAAATGGGACAGAACTTGATTGAAAGCAGACAGACCCCCAAGTAATTGACTCACAGAAGGATCGCTGATTCTGCAAGACGTCAGGATTCAGGGGAGTGAAGCTCGGAGTCAGTAGGGTAAGCCTGCTCCAGTGTTTCCCTGACTCTGTTCAGGAACATGAAGGCAAGCACAGAAGGGCATGTGCAGAGACACACGTGATCACCCGAGTGATGCAGAGGCAGACCCAGACAAAAGACCGAGACAGGAGCCAGGCAGACACACAGACAGAGACAGCCCTGCGGAGTCATGTAGACAGGGATAATGACAGGAACGCGTCAGACACAGGCACCGAGGAGACAAGATGAGCAGATATGCAGGTGCACGCGGAGACAGACACCGGGACTCACTGCCGACCTTGTCAGACAGATTGGTGAACACAGCGCCCAGTCAGAAGCAGACACAAGGCCCGCAGTGACACATAGCGGGCCGGGGCCAGCAGTGTCACTCCTTGATGGGAGGCGGGGAGGGGCCGGCGGGGGAAGGCTGGGGAAGGGAATCCCGGGCGGGCGGTCTGCCCGGGTGGCTGAGTCACAGCGTAGCCTCCGCTGGCGGCCCTCCCCAACGCCTCCCCCTCTCCCAGGTAGGAAGCGAGTCTCTAACTCCTCGCTTCCACCAGGTAGAATAGACCGGGAGCGGGATGCAGCGGGGTCCTGGACCAACCCCACCTTGGGCTCCTGCAGTCTGCTATCTGCTCGGTAAAAACCCCATTTGCAGGGTCTAGTCCTTGGCGGTACTGAGTCTGCATGGGCACGGCAGGCCTCTGACCATGCGTCCCGTGCGGCTCGGGCGCGGAGGGGATCCTCCACCTTAAGCCCAGAGAGAGTTAAGTGGGTGTGATTGATGGAGTGGTTCTCTCTTGGGGCTCTACCAGGAGGGGGTCGGTCAAAGTCCCGGAGTCCAGAGCCCGGATGGAGGGGGAGGAGCTGGGCTTTGCCGGGAGTGCCCGGATGGAGAGGGCGTGGTCTCTGCAGGAGTGGAATTAACCCCTTCAGAGCTGCTGACTCTGGGGATTGTGGGCCGGGTTGGGAGAGGCTGGAATGTCTGTCTCCGAAGTGTCGCCCTCCCAACCTGGCTCTGGCCATGCGCGTCTACCTCTTGTCTGTCTTCAAGGAGTCTGTGGGTGTCTTGTCTTTGCGCCTGTCAGTGGTTGTCCTCTCCCTTTGGTTAGTATGGACACTGGGAGTCGGGGAGGGCTGTTCCTACTCCGAAGCGAAAGTGGAGGTGAGAGTGTACTGCGACCCGACCTCCGGGGAACAGGTGTGAATGCGGCGGCGGGGCTGCCCTACGCGGGGAGGGGTTGTCATGAGAGAGACTAGAGGGGAAATTCCACCGGACCGGTGGTGAGCAGTGTGTGGGCTGAGGAGTTGTGTCTGTCTCTGACTGTGTGTCTGTGTGAGTTCGGGGAGGCGGGGGCTGAGTCAGTGGGAACTGGGGAAGGTTTTCTGGGTGACTCACGCTCTGCCACCCCAAGCCTGAATCAGACCCTGAGGGAGGGCTGTGGGGGAGGGGTGGGTGGGAGTTAGGTTTCTGGGTCCTGGGTGGGAACCAGGATCCGAGGTGGCTGGCAAAGTGAATGTGACTAGTATATAGGAAGTTTTGTCCTTAAGTGTGTGCTCTATAGTCCCAGATGCCTGCGTAAGGGTTTGTGAATAAAGGTTGACGATCAGGGGCTGGAGGGACAGAACTCGCTAGTTTAGGGAAAGCTGAGTCAGTTCCCCGTGGGAAAGGGGAAGTGGCAGAGGGGAAGTGTCATCATCGCAGAAGGGGAAGCTTCATTTCCTGGTAACTGGTAGCGCCCTGGGCACCACTTCCCTAGCAGAGATCTGCTTCTGGTATCTTGTGTCCCAGGTCCCCATTTTCCCACGTCTGCTCCATGGGTCCCTGCAGGACTTGGGTGAGGGCAGCCAGCTTGGGCTCTGCTCGGCCACAGTGAAGTGTTTACTTGTTCCAGGACTTGGTTGCCTCTGGAGTGGAGAATTCTGACAAACTCCGAGGGTCCTTGGGGCGCAGGCACTCACCAGGGTTGGCCGCAGTGTGGCGCACCCTGACAGAGTGCTTCCCTGCAAACAGTCGACCTTGCCCCTGCGGGAGGGAGGGCTGTTTTCACCAGAAACCCTTCTGCCCTTGTGGGCTTGGTGGAAATTTCCCCACAGCTCAGACTTTAACGTGAAGGCGAACTTTCCAGCCGCCCCCAGCCCCTCGCCACATTCTCTCCCCCAGCTTCCTGCTCGGCTCTGGCTCCAGCTGGAGCGCTAGCCCCGCCCCCGCCGCTTTGTACTCGACTCTCAGCTCTCACAGCTCTTTGTACTCTAGACTCTCAATGGACCGATCCTGGGAGCACAGCCGGCTTCCTACCTGGGAGAATGCGGGGTAGGCGCGGGGACTTAGTTCCTGGGTTCAGAGAGCAAGAAGGAAGAGCTGAGGCTAAAGGGAAGGTACCCAGGAGAGGGGAGTGCTGTGTCTACTTTGGGTCACGCCAGCACCGAGGGGGGGGGGCGCGTGAGGGAGGAAGTAAAACGGGTTCTGGGTTCTTTAAGGGAGTAGGCGGTGAGAGTGGGACAAGGGTGATGTCACTGCTCGTCGGGCCCCGCCTCATCCCTCCCGAAGGACACCCCCTCCTCAGTACACTTACACACACCGCTTCCGCTGCGCAAGTAGCCACGTCACGGGCAACCCCCGAAATCCCCCCTCCCTCGGGGGGTGGGGGCCACGTGGGCTGTGGGGAACCGCGTGGCCCCGGCGGGGAAAGGGCATACAGGATACGGGAGCCACGCGAGAGGGGCCACTCGGGACCACGGTGCGCAACTTCTCAGAAGTTGGTGTTAAAGCGGTGTGTGTGTGGGGGGGTGTCTGGCTTGGGGGGTCGGTTGGTATTGAAGACCCAGAGAGCCAGGGGAAGTGGAGGAGCCAAAGGAATTGGTATGAGGTTGGAGACTTGACTGTTGTTTGGGACTGTGTCAGGCCTTGGGAGTGGAGCGCTCTTAGCGGCACGGATGGGTTTGGGTGTCTTAGTTGGCACGGCTGGCTAGCCCTAAGCAGTTCAAAGAGGGGCTGAGGGTGGTTGGCTCAGTCACTAGGTGAGGCAAAATGAGAATGGGAAGAGATGTCTTTGCGTTCTGGATCCGTCTGCACCCCATCAGTCCTGCGGTGGCAGAGACCACGAATAGTTCCGTGGGTGCGTGAGACTCGCCGGTAATGCCATGCCTGCCCAAGCGTGCGACTCACCGTCCTCACCCGTGCCTGTTGTGCTTAGCCCACCTGCTTGTAGCTATTGCCTTACTACCCCGGGTATCACATCCGAGATGGGACCCTTGGTGGGAGCCGCGGGGTCACATCGGGGTCACCCCAGGCCGATCCTGTCTGACCGGCTCCTCCGCCCCTCCTCCCCAGGCGCTGCCTGCCGGGCTAACCTTGCTCCCATTGGTTCTAGCCGGGCTGTTACTGAGGCGGAGACACGGGTGATGATTGGCTTTCCGGGGAGAGAGGAAGTCCTGTGATTGGCCAGATCTCTGAAGCTCGCCGACGCGTAAGAGGACGCTCCCACCGAGGCCGGGTAAGCAGCAGCAACGTTGCGGGTTTGTGGGTCAGCAGGCATGTCCCTGGAGCTGAAACCTAGTAGGTAGTACAACCACACAGTCGCCCCACAGTTGGCTCCCTGTCACTCCGAACTTATACTGACACTACTTTTCAGGACTTCAGGGACCCTTAGGCCCTGTAGATCTCTCCTCAGACTTCCTGCACAAAAAAGCAGACCTGGAGGTGCTACAGGCATTCCAACCAAACCCCTGGGCCCTGTGTGCTGGCCAGCTCACTGCACTCTTTTTGCCTCTTTCTGTAGAATTGGCTGTGAAAGGCTAGGGGCTGCCATCTGGGTACAGTGGGCACTCTTGTCAGAGCGGCTGGAGCCGGACCATCCTCCCAGCTTCCCAGAGAGCTGGGGCAGGGGGCCGTGCCCGATCTCCAGGGCTCCTGGGGCCACTGCTGACCTGGTAAGGGAAAAACTGGGCCTGGGTTGGCTGGGTGTACACTGGCAGCTCTGCTTTTGCCTCCAGTAAGAACACAATCTTATCCCCTACTTAGGCTGGATGCATCGGGCAGTGGACCCTCCAGGGGCCCGCACTGCACGGGAAGCCTTTGCCCTTGGGGGCCTGAGCTGTGCTGGGGCCTGGAGCTCCTGCCCGCCCCATCCCCCTCCTCGAGGCGCATGGCTGCCTGGAGGCAGGTAAGCACTTGAACTGTGTCTTCCAGCACTCTTCTTTCTATCTTCTCTACCCCTCAATCTCTGAACCATTCTGTATGGTTTCTATCATTTCATGGGCCTCAGTACTATTTTCAGTGCTCTTATTCCTTCTTGTGGTATATAACATAACCCTTCTCTTTCCAGATGCTCAGCCAGCATCGGGCAACCCCCACTCCCTGCTCCCCTACCCACTTCGCATGGCAGTAGCTCTGGACATCCCAACAAACCATACTATGCTCCAGGGTGAGTGGGGGATTCAAAAGTTCTGAAATGGGAAGTAACTGGGGCCTTGAAATATTTCCCTGAAGCCTAACCTTTCTGAATCCCTTCTATTCTTTAGGACACCCACCTCAAGACCCCTCCATGGAAAGCTGGAATCCTTGCATGGATGTGTGCAGGCATTGCTGCGGGAGCCAGCCCAGCCAGGACTGTGGGAACAGCTTGGGCAGCTGTACGAGTCAGAACATGACAGTGAGGAGGCTATACGCTGCTACCACAGCGCCCTTCGATATGGAGGAAGCTTCTCTGAGCTGGGGCCCCGCATTGGGCGACTACAGCAGGTGGGATGAAGCAGGACGTAGCTGGCTAAGAATGTGCCTTCTGTCTCAGTGCCCCCACCTTATGCCTTCTTCTGCCCTTTGACCCCTCAGGCTCAGCTCTGGAACTTTCATGCTGGCTCCTGCCAGCACAGAGCCAAGATCCTTCCTCCTCTGGAGCAAGTGTGGAACTTGCTGCACCTTGAGGTGAGGATGGGGATATAACATAACATATAACATAAGTGGTTAGGGAAGAGGGCTGGGCTAGACCTGCACCCATGCCATTGTCTCTCTTCATTTTGTCCTCAGCACAAGCGGAACTATGGAGCCAAGCGAGGGGGTCCCCCCGTGAAGCGAGCTGCCGAACCCCCAGTGGTGCAGCCTATTCCTCCTGCAGCACTTTCAGGCCCCTCAGGGGAGGAGGGCCTCAGCCCTGGAGGCAAGCGCAGGAGAGGCTGCAGTTCTGAACAGGTATGGTTGTAGGTAGGCCAGCAGGCAGAGAGTACACAGGTCTGGAACAAGGAGTAAGATTCTCACACACTCTTTTCTTCTAGACTGGCCTTCCCCCAGGGCTGCCACTGCCTCCACCACCATTACCACCACCACCACCACCACCCCCCTTGCCTGGCCTGGCTACGAGCCCTCCATTTCAGCTGACCAAGCCAGGGCTATGGAGTACCTTGCATGGAGATACCTGGGGCCCCGACCGCAAGAGTTCAGCACCCCCAGAGCGCCAGGTGAGCCCAGGTTTCTTGCTTGAGGCCTTTTACCTATAAGTTCAGTACCTTCTATACTTATCCTGCATCCTTATGTATCTCCCATAGGAACAGCGGCACTCGCTGCCTCACCCATATCCATACCCAGCTCCAGCCTACACTGCGCACCCCCCCAGCCACCGGCTGGTCCCAGCCACACCCCCAGGCCCCAGCCCCCGCCCCCCAGGAGCAGAGAGCCATGGCTGCCTGCCTGCCACCCGTCCCCCCGGAAGTGACCTTAGAGAGAGCAGAGTTCAGAGGTCGCGGATGGACTCCAGCGTTTCACCAGCAGCAACTACCGCCTGCGTGCCTTACGCCCCTTCCCGGCCCCCTGGCCTCCCTAGTACCACCAGCAGCAGCAGTAGCAGCAGCAGCAGCAACACCGGTCTTCGGGGTGTGGAGCCCAGCCCAGGCATTGTGAGTGATCACCTGTGGTGGAAGATGGGGTGAAGCTTTTATGAGGTGGCCAGAGCATCACTCTGACCACTCCATTCTATATTACAGCCTGGTGCTGACCATTACCAAACTCCTGCGCTGGAGGTCTCCCCTCACCAGGGTCGCCTAGGGTCCTCGGCACACAACAGTCGAAAACCGTTCTTGGCAGCTCCTGCTGCCACTCCCCACCTGTCCCTGCCACCTGGGCCCTCCTCTTCCCCTCCACCCCCCTGTCCCCGCCTCTTACGCCCACCCCCACCCCCTGCCTGGCTGAAGGGCCAGGCTTGCCGGACAGCCCGAGAGGATGGAGAGATCTTAGAAGAGCTCTTCTTTGGGGCTGAGGGGCCCCCTCGCCCTCCCCCACTTCCCCACCGAGAGGGCTTCTTGGGGCCTCCAGCCCCCCGCTTTTCTGTGGGCACTCAGGATTCTCACACCCCTCCCACTCCCTCAACCACCAGCAGTAGCAGCAGCAGCAGCAACAATGGCAGCCACAGCAGCACCCCTACTGGGCCTGTGCCCTTCCCCCCACCTTATCTGGCCAGAAATATGGACTCCCTTCCCCGGCCACCCAGCCCAACATTAAGCCCCCAGGACCCACCTATTGCACCCCTGACTCTTGCCCTGCCGCCAACCCCTCCCTCCTCCTGCCACCAAAATACCTCAGGAAGCTTCAGGCGCTCGGAGAGCCCCCGGCCCAGGGTCTCCTTCCCAAAGACCCCCGAGGTGGGGCCAGGGCCACCCCCAGGCCCCCTGAGTAAAGCCCCCCAGCCTGTGCCTCCTGGGGTTGGGGAGCTGCCTGCAAGAGGCCCACGACTCTTTGATTTTCCCCCAACCCCGCTGGAGGACCAGTTTGAGGAGCCAGCTGAGTTCAAGATTCTACCCGATGGGCTGGCTAACATCATGAAGATGCTGGATGAATCAATTAGAAAGGAGGAGGAGCAGCAGCAGCAGGAGGCAGGCGTGGTCCTCCCATCCCCGCTGAAGGAACCCTTTGCATCTCTGCAGCCTCCATTCCCCAGCGACACAGTCCCAACCACCACTGCTGCCACAGCTGCTGGCACCACCACCACTACCACCACCACCACCACCACCACCACCACCCAGGAAGAGGAGAAGAAGCCACCACCAGCCCTGCCACCACCACCGCCCCTAGCCAAGTTCCCTCCACCTACCCAGCCACAACCGCCACAGCCCCCACCACCCCCACCAGCCAACCCAGCCAGCTTGCTCAAATCCTTGGCTTCTGTGCTGGAGGGACAAAAGTACTGTTATCGGGGGCCTGGAACAGCTGTTTCCACCCGACCTGGGCCCTTGCCCACCACTCAGTATTCCCCTGGTCCCCCATCAGGTGCTACTGCCCCGCCACCCACCTCAGTGGTCCCTAGCGCCCAGGGCTCCCCACAGCCCTCTGCTTCCTCGTCATCTCAGTTCTCTACCTCAGGCGGGCCCTGGGCCCGGGAACGCAGGGCTGGTGAAGAGCCAGCTCCCGGCCCGGTGACCCCTGCCCAGCCGCCCCCACCCCTGCCACTGCCCCCTGCTCGCTCTGAGTCTGAGGTGCTAGAAGAGATCAGTCGGGCTTGTGAGACCCTTGTGGAGCGGGTGGGCCGGAGTGCCATCAACCCAGTGGACACAGCAGACCCAGTGGACAGTGGAACTGAGCAACTGATGCCTTCTGCACAGACCAAGGAGGAAAGTGGTGGGGTGGTGGCTGTGGTTGCAACAGGACCAGGCAGTGGCAAGCGGCGGCAGAAAGAACACCAGAAGGAGCACCAGAAGGAGCATCGTAGGCACAGGAGAGCCTGTAAGGACAGTGTGGGTCGGCGGCCCCGTGAGGGCAGGGCCAAAGCCAAGACCAAGACCCCCAAAGAAAAGAGCCGCCGGGTGCTAGGGAACCTGGACCTGCAGAGCGAGGAGATCCAGGGTCGGGAGAAGGCCCGTCCTGATCTTGGTGGGTCATCCAAGGCCAAGCCACCCACAGCTCCTGTCCCTCCGCCAACTCCTGCTCCCTCTGCCCAGCCCACACCCCCGTCAGCCTCTGTCCCTGGAAAGAAGACTCGAGAGGAAGCTCCAGGGCCCCCAGGTGTCAGTCGTGCTGACATGCTGAAGTTGCGCTCACTTAGTGAGGGGCCCCCCAAGGAGCTGAAGATCCGGCTCATCAAGGTAGAAAGTGGTGACAAGGAGACCTTCATAGCCTCTGAGGTAGAAGAGCGGCGATTGCGCATGGCAGACCTCACCATTAGCCACTGTGCTGCTGATGTCGTGCGTGCCAGCAAGTGAGTTGGGTGCTCTTAACCCCAAGGCTGCAAACATGGCCAGGGATAGACTCCTCCCAATATTACCCTGATGTTTCTGTTTTCCTCCCACAGGAATGCCAAGGTAAAAGGGAAGTTTCGAGAGTCCTACCTTTCCCCTGCCCAGTCTGTGAAACCGAAGATCAACACTGAGGAGAAGCTGCCCCGGGAAAAACTTAACCCTCCTACACCCAGCATCTATGTATGTGAGCCATCTGTCCTCTTGGACAGTGTTAGGGTGGTTGGGGAGCTCAGAGCCTAGGGACAGGGCTCTGACTCCAGCTGTTCCTGGTCATCTCTCAGCTGGAGAGCAAACGGGATGCCTTCTCACCAGTGCTGCTGCAGTTTTGTACAGACCCCCGAAATCCCATCACAGTGATCCGGGGCCTGGCAGGCTCCCTGCGGCTCAGTGAGTATGGGGGTGTGCAGAAAGTATGGGGAAGACTACAAGGATCTGGGGTGTGGGGAACCCTTTGAAAATCCCCATAACTTGGAGAGTCAGGACAATGAATATAGAGTTTGCCTACTCAGTCACATGGAGACTATATTTGAATAGTGCTGAGTGATGTGTCAGCCAACTTCAGGCTTTTCTCCTGTTTTATCTGTCCCCAGCAGTGACCAAGTGGGATGGGGATGTATCTCAAGGTCTATGTAGAATCACTTATGATTTTTTTTTCATGATTGAGAATGAGAGCTGGGGATATAGCTAAATGATAAGAGCACTTGCCCAGCACTGACTCCCCCTCCCCTGTTTAAAAAAAAAAAAAAAAGATTGTAGACAACCCAGAGAGACCAGTGGTTTGGGATTTTCTTTTTCAACCTTTCATTGTGAAAAATGTGAAACATGGAAATACAGAGGTCAATCCGTTATACCCATACCCTTATCCCCACTGAGTTATTTGAAACACATACCAGACTTTCATTTGACTAAATGTTTAATTGGACACAATGATAATTTAAGCTGCTGTTCACTGAGTACCTACTATGTGCCAAGTGCTGTGCACATGTCACATCCAGAGCTGAGGACTCTGGTTGAGGGGCTAAGGACCTGGAGCAGCTGTGGGAGGATTGGGGTTGGTGAGGATCCAGAGAGAGGCTAGCCCTGTCAGCCTCCTTTGGGACTTGGGTTCTTGTCCATTCCTTTGGACTGAATTCTGCCAAACCTGTGTCCACCCTGTCAGAGACTTGGGTGGTAGGAAGGGAAAGGGTGAGTTGGGTCTTCAGTCCCTGTCTTTTGCCTCTGCCTGCCCACTCCCTGCTCTGCCCTTCCTTGCAGACTTAGGCCTCTTCTCCACCAAGACGCTGGTGGAGGCTAGTGGCGAGCACACCGTGGAAGTGCGCACACAAGTGCAGCAGCCCTCAGATGAGAACTGGGACCTGACCGGCACACGACAGATCTGGCCCTGTGAGAGCTCTCGTTCCCACACCACCATTGCCAAGTATGCACAGTACCAGGCCTCCTCCTTCCAGGAGTCATTACAGGTGATGGGGGAACATGGGTAGAAGGAGGTGTGCTGGGATCAGAGGCTGCAGTGGGAGGGATCCAGAAAGGTCACTGATCCAGGAATGCCTGCCCCTCTGGCTGAGCAGGAAGAGAAGGAGAGTGAGGATGAGGAGTCAGAAGAGCCAGACAGCACCACAGGAACCCCTCCTAGGTAAGGAAGGCATTGTTGTGTCTCCTCCCTGAATGGCTCCTGTTCCCTGTGCTCTCCACCAACCTATGCTCTTGCTCCAGCAGCAGTGCACCAGACCCGAAGAACCATCACATCATCAAATTTGGCACGAATATCGATCTATCTGATGCCAAACGGTCAGTGGGGTTGAGGCAGCAAAGCTGGGGCAGGAGTGCTGCTGGGCAAGCAGTGTGGAGGGTACCCTCTCATTTGGGTTGCTCCTTCGCCCTGCAGGTGGAAGCCCCAGCTGCAGGAGCTGCTGAAGCTGCCCGCCTTCATGCGGGTAACATCCACAGGCAACATGCTCAGCCACGTGGGCCACACCATCCTGGGCATGAATACAGTACAGCTGTACATGAAAGTCCCGGGCAGTCGAACTCCAGGTGCGCTTCTCAGTGCTCACTGTGTTCAAGTGTACCAGAGGAGGGAGTAGCGGCGGCCCTCAGTCAGCCAATAAAGGCAAAGGGCGGGGTTGCGCGGAGCATGGGCTGCTGTCAGGCCAATCATGCTGTTCTCTGTCTCCCTCTGCAGGCCACCAAGAGAACAACAATTTCTGCTCAGTCAACATTAACATTGGTCCTGGTGACTGCGAATGGTTCGCAGTGCACGAGCACTACTGGGAGACCATAAGCGCCTTCTGTGACCGGTGTGCACTGCCCCCTCTCTAGTCACCCTACTGCTTTCCGTTTTTGGGTCCCTAAGGACCTGACCCTTTGTCTGCCCACATTGCAGGCATGGCGTGGACTACTTAACGGGTTCCTGGTGGCCAATTCTGGATGACCTCTACGCTTCCAATATCCCTGTGTACCGCTTTGTGCAGCGCCCTGGAGACCTTGTGTGGATTAATGCAGGGACTGTGCACTGGGTGCAGGCCACCGGCTGGTGCAACAACATTGCCTGGAATGTGGGGCCCCTCACCGGTGAGAGGGTGGGGCCCGTGGAGTGTGAGCTCTGTTGGGAAGGAGTGGGCATGGAGGGTGGCCCATCTGCCAGGGAAGGGGCTCAGGCCTAGGTGGCTGGGGGATGTTTGAGAATATGTGGTGACTCCCTCTGACCTGCAGCCTATCAGTACCAGCTGGCCCTGGAACGATATGAGTGGAACGAGGTGAAGAACGTCAAATCCATTGTGCCCATGATTCATGTGTCCTGGAATGTGGCGCGCACTGTCAAAATCAGCGACCCCGACTTGTTCAAGATGATCAAGTGAGGGCCCTGTTTGGGGTGGGAGCCCACCTCCACCTGATCTAGTCCCTGACTTTGTTCTTGGTATCTGACATTACTCTACTCTTTATCTGTTTCTCTGTCCATGCCTACCATGTGTCTACAGTGTTACTGTGTTGGGGAGACTGGCAAAGTTCCTGGTCTCAGGACTTTCATTTTCTAAGTAGATAAAACAGGCAAAACTATTTGAAACTTCTTTCCTTTCTTTTCTTTCTTTCTTTCTTTCTTTCTTTCCTTTTCTTTTCTTTCTTTTCTTTTTGTGGAGCTGGGGATTGAGGCCCTGGAGCAGGTTAGGTTAGGCAAACATTCTACCACTGAGGTACATCCCCTGGCCTTTGAAATTTAAACTGTCAGATGCTTAGGACAGGGGAGGTGACCCAGCCATGGAGAGGGAAGACTCCCCACGGGAAGTCTATGGGGCTGTCTGAGCTCTTAACCCATCTGCCCCTGCTGCAGCCTGGCCTCAACATTTCCTCCCGGCCCCTCCCAAGGTTCTGCCTCCTGCAATCCATGAAGCACTGTCAGGTGCAACGTGAGAGCCTGGTGCGAGCAGGGAAGAAGATAGCTTACCAGGGCCGAGTCAAGGACGAGCCCGCCTACTACTGCAACGAGTGCGATGTGAGTGAAGCGTTCTTCCTCTCATTTGCCCCTGAGGAGGTGTCCACTGTGGCCAGCCCTCTTTGTGACTGCCAGTTTGTCCCGACCAGGTGGAGGTATTCAACATCCTGTTCGTGACGAGTGAGAACGGCAGCCGCAACACGTACCTGGTGCACTGCGAGGGCTGTGCGCGCCGCCGCAGCGCGGGCCTACAGGGCGTTGTGGTGCTGGAGCAGTACCGCACTGAGGAGCTGGCTCAGGCCTACGACGCCTTCACGCTGGTGAGCGCGGGCGCGGATGAGGGGCTGAGGAGGAGACTTAGGCAGGTGGCCTGAGGACCCGCTCAGCGTCAACCGCTGAGCCCCCGCCCGCTTTTCTCTCCGCAGGCCCCCGCCAGCTCGTCGCGATGAAGCCGGATGCCCCGCTCGCCCGCCCGCCCCTCTGTAGGGCGCCGCGGGGCCACCAGCACATGCCTGGGCTGGACCTAGGTCCCGCCTTTGGCCGGGAAGGGGGTTGGGCCCAGCCCTTCCACCCTATTGGCAGCTCCCCTCACTTAATTTATTAAGAAAAAAAATTTTTTTTAAACAAATATGAAGAAAAAAGGAAAAAAAAATGGGAGACGGGGGAGGGGGCTGGCAGCCCCTTGTCCACCAGCGCCTCCCCTCACCGACTTTGGCCTTTCTAGCAACAGACACAAGGACCAGGCTCCGGCGGCGGCGGGGGTCACATACGGGTTCCCTCACGCCTGCCAGTCGCCCGCCCGCCCGCTGATGCACGCGGCTCGTGTATGTACATAAACGTTAAGGCAGCCGAGGTTTTTAATGAGATTCTTTCTATGGGCTTTACCCCTCCCCCAGAACCCCCTTTTTTTTTTTTTTTTTTTTTTTTTTTACTTCCAATGCTAGCTGTGACCCCCTGTACATGTCTGTTTATTCACTTGGTTATGATTTGTATTTTTTTTGTTTGTTTTTGGTTTTTAATTTATAACAGTCCCACTCACCTCTATTTATTCATTTTTGGGAAAACCCAACCTCCCGCTACCCCCAAGCCATCCCACCCGCCCCTCTGGGGACTGCCCGCCCCTGGGCTCTCCCCCCACCCCAATGTGTGTCCTCCGGGCTCGGCCCGTCGGTCTCCGCCCGCCCGCCCGTCCGTCCGTGGCTCCAGCCGGGCTCTCATGGTGCTCAAACCAGCTCCCCTCCCCTACGTCCTGCACTTTCTCGGACCAGTCCCCCACTCCCGACCTGACCCCAACCCCGCCTGAGGGTGAGCGACTCCTGTACTGTAGGGGAAGAAGTGGGAACTGAAATGGTATTTTGTAAAAAAATAAATAAATAAATAAATAAATAAATAAAAAATTTAAAAGTTTTAAAGAAAGAACTATGAGGAAAAGGAACCCTGTCCTCCCCAGCCCCGGCCAACTTTTAAAACAAGACCTTCACCTTCACCCCCCCTTTTCTTTTTAAGTGTGAAACAGCCCAAGCCCAGGACCTCACTGGGGCTGGGACACCCCAGGACGAGCTTCTCTGGGGCTCTGTTTTTGTTTTCTTGTTTTTTTTCCCTCCCCGCTGGGGCTGTGGTGGGGTGGGGGGTTTACAGTCCCGCCCCCTCGCACTGCACTGTCTCTCTGCCCCAGGGGCAGAGGGGTCTTCCCAACCCTATTCCTATTTTCGGTGATTTTTTTGTGTGAGATTATTAATATTAAAAATAAAAGAAGAAAGAAAATCCTGTTTTGATAACGTGCTGGTGATAGCAGGGGAGAGTACCGGGAGGAGGGCCGCAAGAAAGTGATTGATGGGGAGGAACTGCACAGGCCCTGACAAGGGCGAACCCCTCCCGGAGGCGCCTGAGGAATGTCCAGAGCTCTGGACCGCTCCTTGGGATGGGGGTGCCTAATCCTAGAGCCGCATTCCAGGATAAGGGGGGGTGGGGTGGGGAGAGGATGGGTCGGGGGAGGGGCAGGAAAGAGGGCTATAAGGGCCGAGGCCCAGGCTGGCGAGAGCCAGCCAGGCCATGGCGGATGTCCCCGGGGCGCAGCGACCGGTTCTCGGCGGCAGCCCAGAGCCCCGCGATCCCCTGGACTGCTGGGCCTGCGCTGTGCTGGTAACTGCTCAGAACCTAATGGTGGCTGCCTTCAATCTACTCCTGCTGGCGCTGGTGCTGGGGACCATCTTGCTACCCGCTGTCACCATGCTAGGCTTCGGCTTCCTCTGCCATTCCCAGGTAAGCGTGCACCCCTCTGTGTGTGTGTGTGTGTGTGTGTGTGTGTGTCCACGCGTGTGGCACGGTCCAGTGTGGTGATGCTGGCGGCGGGGTCTATGGGCTACAACTTCTCCCCTCCACTCCGTGGGCTGGGCTGTTCCCACTCTGGGCACCATGTGGCTCAGGTCGACCTGGGCCTGACGCCTCTTCTCCTCCCAGTTCCTGCGCTCTCAGGCACCCCCTTGCACCGCGCACCTACGGGACCCGGGCTTCACCGCCCTGCTGGTCACCGGATTCCTACTCCTCGTTCCGCTGCTCGTGCTTGCCCTGGCCAGCTACCGCCGCCTCTGTCTACGCCTCCGCCTGGCCGACTGTCTCGTGCCTTACAGCCGGGCCCTCTATCGGCGCCGGCGGGCCCCGCAGCCGCGGCAAACCCGGGGCTCACCAGGGTCCCAAGCCGTTCCTACGCCGGGAAAGGTTTGGGTCTGAGGAGCCTCGAGTCAAGAACACTAGTGCCGTCCTCCCTTCCCGTGGGGCCCAAGGACTCGAAGCCAGGATCTTCTGCCCTACCCCCACCCCAACCTGAGCCGGGTTCTAGCATCCATTTGGGGGACAGCAACATTTTTGGACCCCAGTGCTGGCGAAAACTCCCACGCCCCGGAAAAACTGCTTTCCTGTGACTACCCACATTTGAATCGTGAATATCTGGGCTGGACCTTCCCACTCCCTTAACGTGATCAGGACAACTGAACCTGTGCCATCCTTTTCAGCTTCAGCTCCTCTAGAATTTTACAGGGCTGAGGGGCAATGCTGGAGGTGAAGAAAGACACATCAATAAAGAATTTATGAACAGGAGTGTGCTGTGAGCAGAGGGGTGCCCAGGAGCAGGAAACGATTTCCTGAGATTACAAATACTCAGGCGGGAAGCATCTTTCAGCCTCCTGGCATTTCCTTATTGCATTTGTCCATTCTTCCCGGTTAGATCCCAGAGTTCTGTCCCTGACCCCAAAGTCACCTCCACATCAATAGTAGAGGGGGCCTTGTTTCACCCCCCGCCTACCCGGTTCCCCTTGGGGATCGAGCCCGTTCTCTGACCCCAGCATAGAGGAACTCAGTGTTGCCAGGCCGGGGCGGGAAACAATGGGCCTTCCGGAGCAGGATGACACCCCTTCCCGCCACAATTCTGGAGCAGGAGCGTGGGAGGGAAGATGCTAGGGTCCACCCCAGGTTCTGTTGGTCTACAGCCTGTTCCCCATCCCCAACCTCGAACTGAAGGGAAATTTTGGCACCCCTGGGCGTAAGGTTGGGGGAGGATTGAAAATGCTCTTGGCATCAGATAAACTCCCGTTTCTAGGGGTTGGGTGTATTCTCTATCCTGGCATCGAAGCTACACAGACACAACGCACATCAGTCATAAATTTAATGAGGTTTGAAAGACATGCCTAATTATGGTCAGAGATACGGAGGCCCTGCAAGGCTCTCCCTTTGCACCTCAATAGAAACGATGTGGTGTCCCGGTACCATGGCCAGGCCTAGCACACGGGGTTCCCCGGCAGAGAAGGAATCTGGAAAGAAGGGTCAGAGCATCAGGGAGGCAGGCCAAAGTCGGTCCCGCCCCTTCTGAGCCACGAAAACACGCCCCACAAAACAAGGAGTGCTGTCAGACCCTGAGGGAAAATGCCTTGCRTGAACTTCCGCCACATTCCCAAGCGGGTGTGCATCCCCTGGGCACTGACCCGACGGCTTGAGGAACTCCTGCGCCGAACCCAGGATGACATTGCAGTCGCGGTCGGTACAGAGGAAGCAGCCGACCAGTGTCCGTCCATCTGTCATTCGAATGCGCATAGTCTTGTTGAGCAGCGCCTCTAATTGCTGCCGGGCACGCGCAGCCGGCGAGTCCTCGCGCTCCCCATCCGAGTCCTGCTCCGGGCGGAATACACTCAGACCTTGCAGTCTCTGCTGCCCGCCAGTCTGCGAAACCACAGCTCCCGGCAACCCACGGGGCACTCAGAAGCCCAGAGGCTGCTGGGAGCTGCAGTTCCCCCCCCCGTCCCCCCCATCTTGCTGCCCGACTGCCCCTCAATCTCAGAACCCGAGCCCACGCTAACCCCGGCGCTGGAACTGCTTTGTCGCCGGCTGCAACATCCATTCTCCTCTCGTAGTAGCATGGTCGGCCCAGCTCCAGCCATTTGCCCCGCGGGCCCCTCTGGGCCCTTAAACTTCCTAAAAACCTTTCGGGTCCGGTGGTCTGAGATCTCGCGAGCGCTCCCGACGTCTTTCCTTTCGCGAGATCACCACTCCTCCTCCTCCTCCTCCTCCTCTTCGTCTCCTCGGCAACTGCAGAAATCTCGCGAGCTTCTATTCCTGGGCAATGGTTCACCGAGACCTATTACGCCGGATGTCTTAAAATATCGCGAGAAATTTACCTGTTATTTTCTTACACATCTTTCAGAAACTCAGAAATTTAGCGGGAATACCTTCTTCCATCCTGCTTCCTCACCTTGTTTTTCTGCCTTAAAATAGTTCTTCCTCTATATCCCGTGTAGCCCAGACCTCTGGATTAAAACGGAATGTGTTCGCTTTTCCCTGGAACTCAAATTATTCAATGTTTATGTGACCAATGTCGGAATCAGACTACGTTTCCCGTGAGCTCGCAGACCAAGCCTTTCCTCGCCCTCACAGTGTTTAATCTCAGTGGACGGTGGCCGGGAAAGGACAATGGTTTCCATGTGAGCGGGTAAACGCGCTCACCTTAGCTCCTGGACGCGGAGAATGTGCGCGTGCTCTGAGGAGCGAGGAAGCAGCCAAGGGACCCAGTGCCCGATAGAGAGAGAGCCATGCCGCGCCGGGGCCTAGTGGCTGGGCCAGAGTTTGAGGGCTTCCAGCGTCGCTTTTTCACGCCGGAAGAAGTGGCCAGACATAACCAGCCCGAAGACCTTTGGGTGTCTTACTTGGGATACGTGTACGACCTAACGCCATTGGCTCAGGAGTACAAGGGTAAGGGACACAGGTTGGACCAGGACTGGGTTGTGTGTGGGGTGGAGGTAGGCGGGGCTGGTTCTTGGGTAGCCAGCATTGACAACAGCTCCTCCTTCCCAGGGAACCTGCTGCTGAAACCCATTGTGGAAGTTGCAGGCCAGGACATCAGCCACTGGTTTGATCCAAACACCGGAGACGTAAGTTCTGTTGGAACATGGGGTTTGGTGGGGGAAGCGGTGATAGGGAGGAAAAGCGGAAAATAGCTGGAATCTGAAATAGTCACGGCTAGGATCCGCGCCCAGCCTCACCCCAAACTCAAACCCTTCTTTAAAGATCCGCAAGCACATAGATCCCCTGACTGGTTGCCTGAGGTACCGCACCCCGCGGGGCCGTTTCGTGCACGTCCCACCTCAGCTGCCGCGATCGGACTGGGCCAATGATTTTGGGAATCCCTGGTGGAAAGGGTCGCAGTACGAGGTGGGGAAGCTGTCTGCCAAGACCCGGAATATTCGCATCATTAACACTCTCACGTCGCAGCAGCACATACTGGAGGTGAGATCTGGTGCCTGGGGACAGGTTAGGGAAGGAACTGATACTTTCAGGAGATCTCCAAAGAGATCTTCAGGCCATCAGTTTGCCATAACTGGGTGAGAACTGAATTTTCTCTCTTTTAAATTGAGGTGACTGAGGAAAGCAGACCACATAGGTCTCCAGGGTTGGGAATTCTAGGAGTGTCTTGGTTACAGGGTACAAGACATTCCTTCATAAGTCCAGGTTAGCATCTTAGTAATGGTTGTCCTTGGAGGCTCTTACAGGCTGTTTTGGACAGTTTTGGACTCTTAAGACTATTTTATGCCAAGGATAAAGTGAGAGGACACTAGCTTTGACCCTTTGGGGCCATCTGTTTGTTAGAAGTGGCTTGCCATAAAGATGACAGGATTTTGGCACCCTTCATTGCATGCTGAAACTTCCAACTTTATTTCTGGGACTGTGGAGTGCCTGAAGCTACTATCTGCCAAAGGAGGCGTTCTGATCCTAGCTCTGTATATCTTGGGCTCCTGGCCTTTGCTCTGTGTGTGTGCGCACGCGTGTGCATGAGCATATGTTCCATCCAGAATTCTGGAGGTGGGTGCTTCCATGTTCTCCAGGTGGGGGCTCTGGAGTCAATGTGGGAAATCCTACACCGATATCTTCCCTATAATGCACATGCTGCCAGCTACACGTGGAAATATGAAGGGAAGACCCTGAACATGGATCATACCCTGGAAGAGAATGGGATCCAGGATGAGGAGGAAGAATTTGACTATCTCAAAATGGATGGTACACACTACATACCTGCAATACTGCTCTACTTCAGTGATGACCTCACAGAGCTATAGGAAAGGAGATGTGTGCTTGTCTGGATTAAGACATACTTTGAGTTTGCCTTTTTCTGTCCTTGAGGAAAAGAGGTGAGGGTGTGGGGTGCTTGGATTCAGACCTCCTTTCCCCTTTGGGATCTGGACTGTAGTTCTCGTGACCTTCTGAAGTATGAATCTTATTCTCTGGCTCCCTTCTGATTTGCTCTGCGAAAATTAGGGAGAACGCTAGAAGTGGATTAGTCTTTAGGGATGACACAAGAAGGCACAGTATCTTGGATAGGGAGTTGTAGGGGAGAAGAGGTAAATGGAGCTCAGGTAGAAGGTGATAGTAAGAGAAAGAAATCCTACACAAGGATGAGGGGTGGAGGAACATTTTCGGCAATGGCAGAAATGAGATGGCTGTAGAAAGATGGGATCTACAAAGATAGGAGTAGGAAATGACTATCATTGACCATAAAACCTGGCTAGTCTCTTTTTTAAATTTTTCTTTCCATATTTTCTATTGGTGCATTGTAGTTGTACATGATAATTTGTTGTTACATACATGCATACAATATAACAATGTAATTAGGCTATTATCATTCCCTAGCACTTACCCACTTCCTGCCCCCCTTATTGTCTTTTTAGAAAAGTATTTAGTAGCTGAAACCCAAGGGAAAGAAAGGAAATAAATGGTCATCAGATAATCCAGTCAAGATATTATAATAGGTACTTTATTCACCCTCTTTACTACAACTACCCCATAAAGTGAATACTATTAACACTATTTCCCAGATAAGGCTTTTGAAACTTAGAAGTGTTCATTAGCAAAGAGATATTAGTTACCATTAGAGTCAGGATGCAAATCCAAGTCTGCCCAACTCCAAAGGCTAAAGGGACTGTTCTCAATCTCTTAACTTCATGGTAACATTTTAAAATGCTGCCTCTGACCAAGTATTTGGTATTTGGGTTTGTCCTGAATTTGTTGCACAATAAGAAACTGTAGGCCTATTGATTAGTCAGCAGTTACTGTGTTGGGAAAGAGTTAATCAGCAGAGTACTCCAGAGGCAAAGAGTAAGCCAGGAAGACCTCTTTAGGAATAGCTGTTGAAGCCTCAACAGCTATTGCTTCTTGTTCATTCCATAGTAAAATTTCTCTTCTTACTTTTTTGAGGCAAAGATGTGGGCATTTATTAACTCCTAGAAAAACTGGAGTAGGAAAAGGGCCTGTAGATTGGGTTATATTGGTGAGGGAGCACAACAGAGGCATCTTTTTCACCTGTGGACCTTTCCACTTAGAGGAGGTGAGGAAAACAGGGTTGACTTTGAAAGATTCTAATTCCAAAAGAGGTGACTTGACAGGGGACATGTAAAGAGAGAACTAAGTAAGGTAGACAATTCCCAATGAMCAAAAGAGAACCAACAAGGAGCAATGGCTAGATTTCACCCCTTGTAACCTAAGCAGGGGAGGGAAATGGAGAAGGACAGGTGAACTTACTGGCAGCAGCAGGCAAAAATGAACCAAGGAGAGTTTAGTACATCTTCCTGGTTGGGTCCTGAACCCAGCTCAGAGGAAGGTGGTCTCTAGAGACATTGGGTGGGTTGCACAGAAGTTTTCTAAGTGGCTATGAGAAGCATGAACAAAGATGGGGTTATCCCTATTGGCTTCAGGTTTCTGAATTCATTGGGATTGATAGAATCTAGTCCTATGGAATGAAAGAATCCTTGAATTATCTGGATCAATAATTGTGATATTTAATCAACTCTGCAATGATCTCATATGTATCTTGTTTGCTCAACTAAACCTTAAATTATTTGAGAATCGAAGCTATGCTGTTCCTCTTGTTGCCAGCTTCAAAGGCTGTGCCTATGGTATGTGCTTAATTTGCCCAAATTTGTCCCTTTTCCAGAGTATCCTACTTTAGTACCTCTTGCCAGAAACACACACCTTTCTTCACATACCCAGACACTCACCAAGTAGATTCTATCTGATAAATATCACTGGAATCTATCTTCTTTTCTCTGAATTACCAACACTTCTTGTTTAGACAGCTGGGAAAACTTCCTAACCTGTCCTTCCATTTCTACTTCTGTCTTCTATATGCTATCATCAGAGTGACATACAAACCTCAACATCTCACTTTCCTGCTCAGATATTTCAGTGGCTCCCATTTGCTTTTAGAATAAAACACTAATTTAAAAGACCCTGCATAAATAAGGCCCTGCCTACCTTGCATGTCTCGTCTCATAATATACCTCTTTGTTGCCTGTGCTTCAGACACCATGGCTGGCCTTCATAAAGTATCTTCTTTCCTCAAAGCCTTCACAAAGATTGTTCTCTCTGCTCACCACACCCTTCCATTTTCCACTTAGCTCATCCTAAATGTTTCTTCCTCAGGCAGTCCTTTTCTGATTTTTCAATATAGATCTAGACTTTTTGTTAAGTCTTCTCAGCACATTTAATTTGTCAGGTTCTTATAACTATTGTAAAATTATAGATGTTACCAGCTGACTGCTAGATTGTAAGCTCATGGAGGCAGAGATCTTATATATTTTGTCTTTGCTGTATTCCCATTGCTGGGTACATAGTTGCTGTTCAATAAATATTGATTGAATGAATTCAGATATCAAGGAATTAATCTGTTTGTAATGACTAGTGCGTGGGAGGCAATGATGGAACCAAGAGATATAATAAGTGTCACAGTTTCTATCCACAGGTTTCTTTTTCCCTGCTTCCCATATACCCAAGAGGAAAGTTATTCCTTGAATTCTTCCTCACCAGAGATGTTTTGGGACACTCAATCTGTCCTTTTCCCATATGGCCACCAGGTGGCTGCAATTGCCTACAGAGTCAGGGAAAGCCTCTGGGAGAAAAGAAAACCCTTTAGGTTCCAAACAAGTTAGCATTGAAGGTGGCCCTTGGAGATTTGTAGCAGGAGGGAAAGATCAGGGTAAAAAAGGAAAAACTACATGGGCACCATTCTGGTAGCATTAGATTTTTCCTTATTTTAAAATTTTCCCCATAAGCACATGTCAGGAAGAGAGTGTAGTTTGAGAAGTAACTCTTGAGAAAGGGTGAATATGGGTCCTCTTTATAGGTGTGGACATATGGGGCAAGGTATCAGAGTTAAGGAATAAAAAATTCACAAATTTTTATGATAGTAGACTGCATTTATTTTTATTTTTTGTATAAAGCTTTCTACTACACACTGCTTTGTTCTCTAAATATCTAAGAGTGGATATTTGCATGAGATGTGTCTGAACATAAACCTTGAAAG